AGTGACAGAAATAGATATTTTAGTGAAGGACCTGAGAGTACTTAGGCATTCAAACTACAGTGTCCCTTTGAAAGAGAGCATGCTGTACTCTATCCCAAGGGACAACGATGTGTTATTTACACTTCCCAACCTCTCAGGAAAAGGTACCTCTCTTAGCTTTTACATAATATTTTTATCTGCAGCTGATGGGTTGCTTTACAGGAGCAAAAGAACATAATTATTGCTGTGTTTACATAGTGAAACAGTTTCTTCATTAACAGGGAAGTGTTTTATGTGGGTTTTTTCCTGGGGTTTTTTGGGTTTTTTTGGTTTGTTTTTTTCTGTAAACACCTAAATTCAACTCTTTGGCATTCTAGGTATTTTGTTTATTTTCAAAACTGTTCTCCTGTGAAGTACTTGGAACTTGTCAGTCTGCAACTCAGACATCTCATAAGAATACAGTTCTCTCTCAGGGCTGTGATAAACGTTTCTTTAAAGCTTCCCCGTTTCCTGAAAATGAAAGAGAAAACTGGAGAGGAAATACCTGTCTGGGTCACTTCCAAACCAGAGAATAGTTTCATGTTATTAAACTTGAATAACTTAAAAGCAAGATAAGTTATTTTATGCCTTAATCTTATTTCAGTTTTGTTTAAATCAAGAACTCAAGGATTTCGTAGGGGATGAATATTTTGATCTCGTTCATCACCTTTTAATCTGCCGACAGCTGAAAGCGCAGCTAAGGGCTGCAATGCTGCTGCTGCTTCTTATCAAGTTCACTGCTCAAGACTAAAAAAAAAAGTAAATGTGTGAGTCTTTGTTTTCCTGAATAGTCATATAAAAAGCAAACTCTCCACTAAATCCAGCTTTTCTTCTGCAGATATTCAAGATCCACTGCAGACTACCAGTCAGTACCTCATCCGGCAAGTAGAAACGACAGTAGATGAAGAGACATTACCTGGCAAGTTACCAGAGACCCCTCTTAGGATAGAGCCTCCATCCTCTTACAAGGTAGTTTTGTTGTTTGTTCAATTATTAATATATACCTCTAAAGACTGGTCTAAAAAGGAGATGCTGTTTTTTTTCCTCTTCTTTTTTTTTTTTAACCTGTTTCCCCAGAGATGAAATGCATACTTGTTGGTGACATTTCTAGGAGGAAAAGTTGTAGTAACATGCTGCAGATAGAGCTGAATGTTATTTAGTATTACAGTTTGAAGGAATAAACTTCCATTTCCATTTTTAGTATTGTCTACAGAAACAAATATGTTTTCTTCCTTTGTGGCTGTTTACAGAACAAAACAAACAAACCTAGCATTGTTAGGATTCAGATAGTGGGTTTTCCTCATGTAAAGACCAAACACAACACCCACTTAAAGATGGTAAAAAGGTATGTAACATTCCTAGGCCTTTGTCTTTGGTCCTTTATTTTTAGTTTGGAAAAAGGCAACACAGAATCACAGAATCACAGAACACAGTATGTAATAACTCATTTCTGGAAGAAAGAATTTACCATTCCTACTTAACCTAGTGTTGACTTCTCAGAGTGCTGTTTTGCTGCTTTATATTTAATTATATATACTTTAAATCTATATACTTCAATTTATACCAGGATTTTCTATTGTGTGAGGCATCTGACAGTAACTGACTTCCACAGAAGCCTTAAGAAATCCCCGCAGCCAACCACAAATAAGAACAGACTTTTACAGACATGCTCTAGGAAACTAAAAAAAAATAAATAAATAAAAGCCTTCCTAAATTATTCCTTAGCAGTGAGAAATTGTTTTGGGGAGTTTTGGTGTGGTTTTTATTGTTTTGTTTTTGTTTTGTTTTGTTTGTTTGTTAACTCCAGTAGGAATCAAATGGGTTTCTAAATCCTGCAATGTTCTGACCTCATAGATACTTCATGACAGTGATTTGTGATATTTACATTATACCAAGCTAAGCATTTATAACAATTTCAAATACTGTTTAGCTTTAAATTACATCAGTTTCTTTTGACTCTGCTTGAGTGCTTACTCCTTTGGCAGATGGGCCATTGACCTTGCCCACTGTAGGAAACATGGTAACAGCTTGAGAAGTTTCAGTTCCAGATTAGGTAAGGGTGGGCTTTGATGGCCTCCTCTGTGGCTGAAAGAAACACTTTATAACCTGCGGCTGAGACAAGGGGGCAAGAATAGTGGGCTGAAAGGAATCCTTTCACTGCTGTACACTGCCATGATATCATAGCTTCTCTACAACTAGGCCAGATACCCTTCACCTGCTCTGTTCAAGTGTCCTTTATTTTCCAAAGTGGCCTTTCCGTTCAGGGAGCTCAGCTAGGATGAGCAGAAAACTAAACCTTCACCTATGCTTAAACTTTGTAGAAGAAAGAGGTCCAAGTCACCAGTAAATTTCATCCTGCCTTTATGTATGTTTAACAATACATTTAATTTAAGCAATCACCGTGTCGTGGTTCAGGGCTGGGTTGGCCACTAAATCTTGGGCAGATGCTCTCTATTAATCCCTCTCCCCTCCCCAGAAGGGAAGAGAAAAGAGAATAAGGGAGAGAGACTCTACGGGTTGGAAAATAAAACTAACAGATTTAATGAAACAATAATACTAATACTACAGGATAATATCGTAAATAGGAAAATAATGGAATATATACAGATATATATATCCTGAATATATCCTTTATATATATATAAACCAAATATAAAATCCTCCCCCAATGACAATTATATCACCAGAGGCACTGCGGGGCACTGGAAAAGTCCCAGACCGGACCCAGCAGCAGGTGGGAGCAGGATGCAGGAACACATGAATCAGGATTGGAAGCAGACAAACTAGCATGGTTCTGCTCAGACTTTGTCCATTGCAGGATCAGAAGAACAGAGGGCAGGATCCGAGATGGAAGAAGGGTCGAAACCCTTGTGATCACTCAGCTTCCCACTGAGTATGATGTATGTAGGATGGAATACTTAGCTGGTCAGTTTTGGGTCCGTTCTTCCCCATAGGTGCAGATACAGCACCCATGGTGAGAAAGTGGCCTTGTGATTATCACTTGTAGAAGTACACACTGTCTGGAAAAACATGCTGCTAGTTTTAGCAAGTTCAACTGCTTAGAGGCTGAGCTGAAAAGTAAAATCACTAAATAAAAAATTAGTTCTATTTAGCTCAAACCAGGACACACCATGTAATGAGATTCACCAGTAGCTACAAAACTTGCATTTGTTGCATTTTGCAACCTATCTTTTTATTTTTACCTGTTTGGTTGTAGGTGATGTGCCAGTGGGTGGAAGACTTGAGAAAAGGGTTGTGCAGATTCTGGTTTCAGTCTTTACCTATCTTCTTTAGTTTGATGCAAGTCATTGTACTTGGAGTTGTTGGAGCAGCTTTTATTCTCAAAGTCTTAAAGTTTATATTCCCTTCCTGTGAAAACAAGTAAGTAATTTTTGTTTTGTTTTTTTTTTTCCCCTCTGGTAAAGGCAGAACATTAACTAAAAAAATATTTCAAGAAGCAGCCTCAGTCTGTAGGAAGATGGTGGCAACAATTCAATGAAAAGGCTGCCGGTAACTTTCTGTTCCAAGTGACCTTTTGACACATTGGCATTTCAGAGGAACATGCGAAAATCTTCCATTGGAAATATCTTTAGCTTGGCTGTCATACTGCCAAAACTTACCAAGTCATCTCAGGACTACATTGTGAGTCACCATTAACATAGCTCTGAGAGAGAAGGGTAGAAGGTAGAGCTAATCAATTCCAACAATTATAAGTCTTTAATAACTCTAACACAGTACAGTATGAATAGTAGTTATGAAAGACATCAGATTTGGCTTTGCAGATTTGTACAGGAATTCTCCAAGGAAGAGCTACCCCCGTAGGCAGTTTACAAGTCATAGGGATTGGTGCTAGCATTGGTGGCAAAAAGTCATAATAAAGCTAATTGACTGCAGGAGGCTTTATTCACACGGTTGGTTTGTGACCAGCAACACTTCTATTTCTCAGAGAAGCAAGCTCTGAAAACAAGAGGTGGAAAGATAAATCAGTAACCACAGCTAAGAAATCAGTATAGATTTAGTGCTGGGATGGGCAACCATGTGTGTTTTAAAACAACCCAGGTCAGTTCTGGAAGACCTAATCCTTGGAGCCATACACTCTTTTAGGAAAAGTGACTGACAGTGCAGCATGCTTCATCACTCACAATAAACAGCTGATGTCTTCAGATCTGACTGAGCAGCTATGCTTCTGCATGGTCCTGAGCGCAGTTAATTTATATATCCCACCCAGGGATATGAGCAGCCTTAGTCCCTCTGACAGGGCTAGAAAAAGAAGGCTGGAAAATCAGGAAGGTTGGAAACTGCAGTGACAAAAGAGACCATGCCTCCCCTGACATTTCACAAAGTGCGTTGTCAGATCCAAGTACTTCTTGTAACTCACTTGTTAGAGCAGAAGGGAAGAAACACACTGTACATCCCCCCCAGCAGTAAGTAGCTTAACGCTGCCACATGTGAAACTTTGAACTAAGTAGAACTAGGAAAAATATTCTAATCCCTATAAACTGTTTAGCAAAGTGTCTGATGGCAGAGGTAGGTACAGAGCAGAGGAACCAGCCTGCAGTAATTTCTCTTCCAATTGGAGAACATGAAGCTTGTGCATGGCTTGTCGGAGCATTTTAAGAAATTGTGACACTGGAAGGATGGTCTTCCCCCTGCCAACCAAACCAAAAAAACACCCCCAAAACCACACAGTCATTTTCTTGCTACCTGGATAAAGTTGTTCTGTAAAAAGCAGTAAAAGTTTAATTTGTGATTGTAAAGCAGCAAGAATGAGAAGAAGGTCTTGTTTGGTGAATGACAGAGTTGCAGATGTGAGTCAGGACCTTGTCCCAAGTCTTTCATGCCATTCCACACTGATGAAACTAGAGGCTTCAGCTGGTCTTAGAGAATTAAGTGTAAGGTCCTGACAAAGTAGCTCCTGACTGCAGACAGTTTGAGGCTACTATGAAACAGAACACACACGACACTACTATTTCAGATGTAGAAATTGGGACCCCTCTGAAACCACAGCTAGTACATTTTAGAACCACTTTTCATTCTAGCTTCATAAAAGAGGTATTAGGAGGGTAAAACTTGATCCATTGATTTAAACTTGGTTTGAAGAGTTTAAGAATAGATCTAATTTTTAGAACACAGAATTGTTTGATATATTGTTTTCTAATGCCAGGTAATCTTACTTTGCAGAGGCATCCTGCTCCTGGATCAAGTCAGCTTTGTACCTGTGATTACCATCAGCTTGCCTTCAGACCTTCCAGACAGGAAAAATATTTTAGATGAGAAAGTGTGTACTTAGTACTTTGTTTGCTTTGGAGTTACTGTTTTTTAAAAACAAATTTTTAGTTGACCTGAAATTTGGCACTTGATCTTAATACCTTGTTTGTTCCTAAGAAAACTAAGTCAGTTGATTAATTGGTAAAGGGACACCCAGGCCCAAAGCTGACTTCCCTGTGCCTCTCTAAACATGCAGCCTTTCCAGAAGCTTCAAAATAGAACAGCCCTCCACCCTGAGGGCTACCATTGGTTTTAACTTCTGTGAAGTCACTTCTCCACACCTTGGACAGGATGCTGTCTGCCTTCACACCCACAGATAAACCAGGTCAGCTCTCCTGAAGAGCAAGGTGATGAAATTCAGGGTGTGCTGAAGCCTCTAGATAGCATTCTTCAGAAAAGTATGAAGGACCATTGCAAACATCAGCTGTGCCTGCAAGCCTAAACAAGGCTGCCCAACCTGGTGAGTGTGCCTTGCAAGGAAAAGATCACTACTGAACATTTCTGTTATTCAAGTAATTGAACATTTTAAGTATGCAAAACAAAAATTAAAAAGGCAGATTTGTATTTAAAGCACTTTACACTTTTATGGCCCCTTCCACTCAAAAAATGTTAGCACTTGTAATCAATGTGCTTTTTGTATCTGTGACAGCAGTACTATGTGAAGTCTTGAAAGGTAAAACAAAATTCTACAGAAGTATTGGCTTACTATTGCTAAGTAGGCCCAGTCTGCCCATGCAGATTTGTACTGTTAACATTTTTCAAATAAACATTTTGTTTATTAAACTGTGTTTGCATCTACTTACATAAGACAGCAGTTTGCCAAGTGTGTTAGATGCAGGGTACTGTTTGTTTGTTTGTCATTGTTCTTATTGACCAAAATTCTTTGTCAGAAGAATGAGTGGAGGAAAAAAAAACAAAAAGAACCTTAACTACCTGGCATTGAACTGAGCACAGTTATCATTAATGCTTGATTAAGTAGTTGTTATAGGGAGGGAGGACAGCTAAGATTTCCCTTCACATACATGTACCTCCCCTCTTAAGGAAAGATTACCATAAGTTTAATGATATCTCTGAGTTACTCAAATACTTGCTCTTACAGCTGATCTGTGACAGGAACAGCCCAGAGCTGTCTCACTGAACTGACAGCTATGCTGTTGCACAATAAACATTTCTAACACTGAACTGCCTAGCAAAAAAATCCCCCAAAACCCAAAGAATATCCATCAGCAGAAGGTAACAGAGACCCTGGTTAAACTTCCCTTTTTCTTTGTTTTATTTTTTATTCTAGCAACCTGTGGCTTTGTACTTTGCATCTAGTTCCTCAAACTCAGTGTCATTAGAGCACAGGACCCCAGACATTTGCCAGGTGCCCAGCTGAGTGAGGACAGTAAGAGTGGGGGCTGTGTCACAGCAGGCTGGGTGCTTTGGGCATGTGTGGAACCATGACACACTGAAGCAGGACAGCGACTGATGTTCCTGGAGCTGCAAGCAGTGCTTTCTAGGACACCACCACAAAAGAGCTACCAGAATGATGGCATAGCCATGTAAGATGTAGGTGATGCTAGAGCTATGGAGGGATCAAATTAGTGGAAAGTAGTGAAAGACAACAGATGACAGAGGAGTGGTTGTCATCCGTGACTAAATGGGAAACTGCTGAGACCCTAGAAGGAATGGTGACTGCACGGAAAAGAGCAAGTCAACAAACTCCTACATATGTGGAAATTAATATACTTTCCACTTTATGAACATAGCCCTGGGTTCTTCATTAACACAGTTCAAATAGAAGTGATGTATAACCTGAAGTTTAGCTTCTTCAAAAAAAGAACCGCAAACCAGAAAAAAACCACCACCAAACCAAGAAGGAAGCTGGACATGAAACAAGCTAGACATGTGCTTCCTTACTGCACAAGCATAGCATGAATTGCAATGCAGATGGAAATTCAGCAGCTGTTAGCATGTGCTCTTTGCATCCCTACTTACGAAACTGTAAACCAAGCACCTGCACAGCAACATGGAGATTTAACTCTGTTCTAAACAGCTGCAACATACATGAGTGGTTAAGCCTGAAACTGTACTGGTGCTGCTTCACAACTTAGCTGAATTCCATGAGCTCAGTAATCCTCTTTTCTTTGCTGTTGTGTTCTACAAAGTTACAAAGCACAAGGGAAAGAATGCTACCATCAGGTAAAAAAACCTAAATTTTGAAAACACTGCAAATTTTGAACACACTAATTCTAAGACAACATTGTTGTGCTATGGAGCTATCAAGTCTTAAAAAGTTATAGCCCTAGTGCTCTGCTTTAGCATGCACGTGGTTTTTCCCCAAGTTGCAAAAGTCTCATGCCTTTCAGAGGAGTGCTGGTTTGAGCTGGGACCATTCTGAACCATCTGTAAACCAGTTTAAAAACTCGTTACCACAGTTAACACAGTTTGGAAAGGACAACTGCCCTGCATGCCAGTCACAGTAGGTCTCATTTTACCAGGAAGTGAACTGACAGGGATACAGGTGTCAGCTAGTGGAAAGAAAGGGGAGGGGGGAGAATTAAAAACCACCACAACACACACACACCCCCCCAAAAAACAAACTAACAAAAAATAAACAAAACCTACAACCTACCAAAAAAATCCCACTCTGTGGGATGGCAGTAGATTTTTTGCAAAGGCAGCATCTCTTATCTCCTCACTGCAGCCCTTCTGTTCGGTCTCGCCCTCAGATCGGCACTCTGCCTGTTAAACGCAGCATAAGGGAGATAAACAGCACTGACCTCTTCCTCTATGCAAGAACTCCACCGGAGGGGGTCGGTATCATCATGTTCTATAGTCCAAACCAAAATGAAGCTCTGAGCTACAGAGTCAGCATCTACCCTGGATTACACAAGTGCTCATTTTGTTCTTTTAGAGTGAACAGAGATTGTTGAGCTGCAGAGCTCAAGTACTGCTTTGAAGATGAGGTTTACTTTAGAAGCTCTCAAAATGATCATGCTTTTGGTTTACATGGCCCCTTATGGGACTGCTTCCAAGGACTAAAGCTTGCTTACTTTCCTGTCTCCTCAGGTGACAGACTGAATATTTTGTTTTGCTTGCAATTAATTAATTTATGAGAAGAAATCTCCTTCCTCCTGCAACCCAGCTAACAGCTATACAATCATCCTAACACAAACAGCAAAATGTTAAGAGAACCCACTTCTTCAAAATACTGCACCGTTTTCTTTATGCTGACGCGTACATATATCCTTTTGAAAGGAAAGAGGTATACTGGTTTTCCATTTTGGAGATAGAAATCTATAAATGGACACACTTGCATACTCACCTGAACCTCTTTCCGTTTGTTTCTGGGATCATCATGCCAAGTCCAACCAGGGATTCAGGAGCTCTCAGCAGTATCTACATTTCAGTGCCTTACTAGTATCTCAGCATCAGCACAACTGAAAGTCCATTTTAAGTGTGTTAACAAAATGTTCACAATAATGGCATTTACACAACTGTGTACGCGGGACACATTTACCTTCTATTCAGATCACACATTTTCCTTTTCATTCCCATTTGTCCGTTCTGTCTTGCAGCATTTAAAGAGAGATGCGAGCAGGAATTCCACAGCCATGTATCCACCAGCTGAAACAAGCCTAGACATACCCGACTCATAAAAAAGCATGAAGTTTAGCTGTAAACAGAACTACAGTTGACTGCTCTGAGACAAGCCAGTGAGAAGCATTTCCAAAATGATGGACCGAAATGATATATGTTTTGGTTACAATGACCACTGTTGAGCAAAATCTAAAATAATGACCTAAATGGTCACTCCAGAACCAAAGAGCTGCTGCTAACATTCTAGTTGTCAAGTAATGCAAAAAGAGAATTTAGGTTTTACCCCATTTGTGAGGTCAGGGTTATGAGCAGAAATCACTTGACCACAAACATAACACGCACACTCCCTCCTCAGAAAGGGCGTACCAGCATAAACGTGCAGTGTAAGCCAGGACCCAGCCTGCCAGTCTGGAGTTCTAAAGCTTACAGCACCGTACTGTCAAGGAAGGAAATCGTATTTCAGAATTAGTGCCAAGAAAGTTTTTGCTTTCTCTCAGACTCACAAGGAGATTACACACTGTGACTGCACCACTGCTGGCTGCATGGAATTAGCTGACGCTGCCTGGATGTTACCTAATGGATACTGTAAACCTGTGAGGAACCTACCCCTTGCTTAAACTGCAGCTGAACCTATTGACTGTTGGTAGCACAAGGGTTGCTGCTGTAAATCTCAGCCTTTGTGGAAGTGCTTTATTAATACCTTAGAAATGGCTCAGGGGTAAAATTCTCTAAGATCAGCTAGCAAACCCATCTATATGACTGCACCCTGTTCATCCCATTTTGTAGTTCTCAGCATCGCTTACGCATTTAACAGAGCTAGTCTGGGTTTTTTTTTGTGTAATAGCCATTTGTTAAGAGTAAATCCTCTGATGCAGAAGTTCTAGTATTAAATTCAAGTAATTTTAAAATCCCAAAGATCAAAGCAGATCCCATCAGTATCTTTTACATTTGAAAACAATGGGTATCTTTGGAGCTAGTTCAAAGAGAGGTGGACAGAATTTGCATTTAAAAAAAATTTATTTATACATCTGTTGCTCTTAAATTACAAAAGTTAAAAAGAGCAGGCAGTGCACTGACACACTACTTGTTACTTCTAAAGCTGTTTTAAGACATAAGGTGGCATCTTCAAGTAAGTCAACTCAGCATGATCCAAATTCGACTATCCATTTCTCATATTTCTCAATGTCCGCAGCAGATACAGATTTAGAAACTTTCTTCAAAGCTATTTCAAAGTCTTCCATAGTTGTTGGCATGTGCATTTCATCTCGGGAAAGATTTCTTATTTCTTCTGGTGTCAAGCCTTCGATACGCCTTCTCATAGCCATCAACGATGCATCTCTGTTAAGGATGCAAAAAAAAGAAGAAAATATTACTCCATAGAGAATGGTGAGTTCAGGTGTTTGAAAGGCTCATTCCAGCTAAACTGCTGCATTCAAAAAGATACAAGGCAAAGCAATGGCTTCACTCCTACCTACAGGGGAAGTGGCTGGAATGTTTTGCAAGTATCCTGGTCCAAATAGGAATCCCACTTCAAAGACAGAAGGATCAAAAATATC